TGCTGTCCACGGCCGATGTAATCTTCCATCGACCGTCAACACACTATGGTTGATGTTGAGGACCGCTACGCAGCCAATCCTGAAGTCTGCAGAGGGCTGGCAGGCAGACAGACAGCCCTGCCACACTCGCCTCATCCAGAGCCTTGTGCACAGTGGGTTGAGCAAAGACTGCTGAAGGAGAGCTACATGAGGAAGTAGTTTCATGATCACAGTGACTGTGTGGAAAATTTAGTTTAGCTAAATGAGACCATAAATAATATTTATACTTTCTATAGACAACATAAGACATTTAATCATAAAACATTGCAATAACTTCGGTAGTGTTACCAGTAAATATTAAGATCTAGGTGTGTGTCTAGAGGGGAAGGTATGTGGTGGCACTGGCCAGACCTGAAAAAGGATTGTAGGTGCAGCTAACTGCCAAAATACTGTCAAGAGAATGGCTACAGGTAACAAATATGCATTTGTATTTTAGGTGTTTTAGGCTTTATATATTTTATTTTTTAGAAGAATCAGTACTATTATGCTACTTCAGTAGAATTTTGACATATTCTTCAGTGGCTAAATACTTTTTTTTGCCACTTTAGAAAACAGCTATTCTTTACAAAATGATAAATGATATGTAACACTTTTCATGTCTTAGCATTGATATGGCTGCACAGGCCTGCAAATGATGCACACAATAATATGCAATGTTTTCCATGCTTTCTAAAATCACTGATCAAACATTTTGTTTTCCTGTCGGGTTCTCCTGCCTTGTTCTTGGTGCCCCCTTGTCTTCCTATTCAAAGGCTCCTGGAAGCAGCCCCTTATTCAACCAGGTAACAAATGAAAGCAACTGTACTTAATAGCAGCTGTTTCTAGAAGCCACAATCATCTGTTCACACAATCATGTACACGTTGGAAGTCTGTGGGATACGTCAGGCAAACTTTGGGGTGCAGTATCTTGCCTCAAGAACATTTTATGGATTGAAGGAGCCACGGATCAAACCACTGACCTTCTGACTGGTAGATAACCACCTCTCCTCTTAAACTGACTGAGCAAATCTAAACCTCTTCTAGAAGCAAGTCTTCCAGCTTGGCAGCCCTCTTGGAACACCTCCAAGTAATTACTTGTTCATCATTACCTAAATGAACTTCGATTTTAGTGATAACTTGAACATGAACGGTATAAAGAACTGCCAGGGAAACACTAAAAAATGCTTTATGGTTAAAAGCTTTTCTCCCCACAAATGTCATTTCTACCCCCATCTTTTACATCTACATAGACCTAAAATGATCCTGTTCTGTTCATGCCATTTTCATTTTCAGATGACAGTATTTTTCCTCCTTCCTTGGCTCAACTCTTTGAAGTTATGACTCTGGGTTCGGCCAATGCAGCTGTGCCGGCAGGGTCTCTTATCCGGAGTTTTAATAGTGATGCAATGTTTCCAGATGTGGAACAAGAGAGAGAGAGAAAAGCGGATTAGTGAAACCTGAAAAACAATCATTTTCTCAAAAGACACACAAACACTATATATAAGGGTTTCTGACGTCACTGAATTTGGAAAGAAACACCAAATTCCAAGCTCAGAGAGACCGTCAACAGTTTGATTACATAACCCTTTTCCCCCAGCGAGACAAACAGCTGTATCGCGATACTTACTTTTAAAATTAAAAAACAAAACCAAATCCGTGTTTTATCATTCTTTTGCTTGATTTTAACATTTTGAACTATGTCTTACTCACATATTCTTTTCATATTTGTGCTAAAGTTACACGTCTTTTACACAACATGAGTTCAGAAATGCTTGTGACAATGCAGAAGCCCTTCTTGCTCAAAGGACTTAAAGGAAACCCGAGCTGATTGGTGAGTGGGTGGACAAGCATGCTGGACATATCAGAGGTGCAGTTTGTTCTGCCAGATTGCCTCCTCACATCTGACGGACATAAGCTTCACGTGGCCCGCCTTACACGAATAAGACAAGGCTGCCTCCTGGTGGACTAATGTAAACACAAGTTTTACTAAATAAACAGTGTCCGTGTTTAACCATAAATTACCAGCTCTGTAGTAGAAGTTCTACATCACAGTACACGTACAGGGAAAAAAAGACAAAAGCATCATTTTCATTTAATAAGCTGTACA